ACAAAATGTAGCACGAGGGAACCGTTTGGCGCGTTACCTGTGAAATTCAGCCATCGTTCCACCATCACTTCCTATGCAGCATCGGGCAAAAACGCGGCAACCGGCACAATAAAATACCAAACAGGTAAAACATTACGATAAGGAATCATAGGCGAGCGCATAATTCTAAAAATTCCATATCTGAACTCGTCCGTCAGAGATAAGATTGAATACGCAAGATGTACGTTTCTCGTATAATTTTTCTTCTATTTTACCTTGTGTTTCAATCCTCTCTCTGTCTTTCTCTATCTCTCTCTCTGTCTCTCCCTTTATTCTCTTCTGCGTAGCATGAACAGAGAGAAAATTGAGAGCGATCATTTCGGTCTTTTTCATGCAACGCATACTAGCGTCCATTCTTGCGATGTAGGAACTAAATACGTACCTAGTCTCGTATTTTGCGAAACTGTCGATAAAATTGTAGTGTAGAGAGTCTCGAATAGAGTTTCTATAATTTCGACTCACGATCAGTTACGAAGAAAAAGAAGATGGCAGGGATAGTATCCATATTTACAGCACAGAAGATTGAAGCTATATTACTGCAATGTTGCAATATTGCACATTGCAATGCAATATTGCAGAGATATTACAGAAATGTAAATTAACAATACGTCTGCAAAATGTCAGTAATATGCTTGTAATATTGGGTCATTTAAAAAGTATCCGCGGTTTTTTCATTCAAAAATTGAACAAAAAACCGCGGATACTTTTTAAATGACCTAATATTTCACAAACATTGCAAAACTGTAATTCTTTAATTGTTAATAATAATAATATAAAAATATAAGGTTTTACAATATTTATATAGTACAATCTTTTAGTTTGACATTCGTTTTTATGATATAATAATTAATATATTGGGAGCTTGAATAAGTTCTCGCTGTTTTCCAACAGATGGCGTTAACAGAACTGCGTGCGTGTAGTTGAAGATGGGAACGCATCGATAAGGAACTACGACAAGCAAGCTTGAAATTCAGTGTATCATCTCGCCGAAGTGTAAATAACTTTTTGTTTCATAATGTTAAACATGTCGAGTTTCGTGCCAACAAAAGAATATTTGCGGGGAATTTTACTGCATTACTTTATTAAAAAAAAAATCTGCAGCTGAAGCACACAGAGAATTCTTGTTGAGAGTTACGGCGATCATGCTCTGTCGGACATGCAGAGATTGGTTTAGACGCTTCCAAAATAATGATTTTGATGTTGAAGACAAAGAACGCTCTGGCGCATCGAAAAAGTATGAAGACGAAGAGTTGGAGGCATTACTGCATGAAGACTCATGTCAGACGCTAGCTGAACTTGCACAATCATTAGGAGTTGATCACACAACAGTTTTGAAACGTTTGAAATTATTAGGAATGATTCAAAAGCAAGGACATTGGGTGCCGTACGAGTTGAAGCCGAGAGACGTCAAACGACGTCTTTTCATGTGTGAACAGCTGCTTGAATGGCAGAAAAGGAAAGAGTTTTTGCATTGTATCATGACTGGCGATGAAAAGTGGACACTATGATAACCCTAAGCGTAGAAGATCGTGAGGTAAGCTCGGCCATGCATCAACATCGTTGGCAAAGCCGAATATCAATGGTTCAAAGCTTTTGCTCTGCATTTGGGATCAGCTGGGTATAATTTATTATGAGCTGCTCAAACCGAACGAAACCATCACGGGAGCTCGCTATCGACTACAATTGATGCGTTTGAGCCGAGCATTGAAGAAAAAACGGCCACTATACAAGCAGAGACGCGACAAAGTGATTTTGCAACATGACAACGCACGTGTTGCACAAATCTATTTAGTGAAAACCTACTTGAAAACGCTTAAATGAGACGTCTTACCCCACTCCCCCGTATTCATTAGATATTGCCCCTTCCAATTATCACCTGTTCCGATCGATGGCACATGAACTGGTTGAGCAGCATTTCCATTCTTATGATGGTGCCAAAAAATGGGTCGACTCTTGGATAGCCTTAAAAGATGTGTCGTTTTTCCGACATGGAATTTAAATGCTACCAGACAGATGGGAAAAAGTAATGGCTAGCGATGGACAATACTTTCAGTGACATGTTTTTTACGACTTTTTTAAAATAAAGCATTACTTTTCACGGAAAATCAGTAAGAATTTATTCAAGGTCCTAATAATTCATTTTATATTTAAATAAAAAATTTATTGATTTATTATTTGACGGCCATTTTATTAGCTAAGTTTTATATTTATTTTAAATATGAAATCAAAAGATTATATAATATCGAGTTTGGATACAATCAATGCATTATCGGATAAGCAATTAAGTTATTGAAAACGATTTATCGAAATATTAATTATGTGATCGATGATTTATGATGTGAACGCAAGAATAAACCAGCGTTTGAACTTTATTGATAAATTTCATTTCGTTATTTTTTAATCGATTTCAATTGACTCGAAGTGATTTTGAATTAAAAAGAATCACTGCGATTTACTTAATCCATGATTAACTTATCAAGCGACTGTATTATTATATTAATGTGGATAATATTTGTAGTTTGTTCGGAGCACACACATGCTTTATCCTTAGAAGGATGAATAAATTTATCCTTCAGAATTAATACTATATTTATTGGAATATTTTATCATAAAAAATTACTTTTGAAAAGCACACATCACTAGAGATGCGATTTGTAGAAAAATTAAAGTCAAATATATGAAATATATGTATAGAAATAGTTTTTATTTTAGAGTTTTCGTAAAAAATTTATTCAAATACATTACAATATTGCTGGAACGTTTTGTAGCAATATAACAAAAAGCGGACATCTTAACATTGTTGGAATTTTGCAACAATGATTCAGCAACATTTCGCAATCACTATGCAATATTGCAATGTTTCAGTGAAATCATTCTGCAATATTTCTGCAATCTTTCTGTGTATGGATAATAATAATAGTTTGATTATGAATATATCAGCCACAGTTTATTCTCACACGTGCTAGAATTTAATCACAATTCGAACTCTATCACAGTATAAGCACAGTGTGGACATTAAACTTTTTATGTGATCACCAATTTTTAGTGCGCATGTGCCGATTTCCAACCAGGAATATGGCTGCCTTCAGTAAGTTGAAATTGCAGGATAGATTAGGTTAGCTGGATCTCCTTCCCATAAAATATAAATCGATACTCTGCGGATCGATTCTGTATCTTCAAACAAGGTGAAAATTACAAAAGCGAGTAAATTTACTAGGTGTTGACCAATGAAATAATCAGTATTCTACTAAATTAGCTCACTTTTATAATTTTCACCTCATTTCAAGATACAGAATCGATCTGCTTTCTCTGCAGTTTTCTATTCTCTATTCCTTTTATTGTGCGGAGCTCCTAACTTCATGAAACGGAAGTAGCGCCCTGGAGCGCGATACCGTAATTATTTTACACGCCTACAGACGGCAGCTTAGTTTTTTTTCAGTCCTTTGTGGTCCTTTGTTATGATTTGATGCTTTCGACGTCGAATCGACATCGATTCCATTATCGTTTCTCACTGACTAGTCTGACTATGTTATAATATTATTCACATAATTATTAGATTTCTTTTGTGAAATACTTCTTAATTTATTTGGATTTATAATCGCAAATCAGCAGCAAATACGTGCAGCGATCAGTACCTAATCTCATGACACTGCTTTACAAATGGCGCCCAAACGTTAAAATCCGCTCAGCGGATTCCTTCTCAATTGGAGGTCACAAATCAGGAGGTCATTTTTTTTTATTTGTGTGCTATCGAGGGTCTCCTTCTCTCTTAGGGGCTCCGGATAGGTTGAAATTCTTATTCTCTGTTCTCTGTTCCTTTTATTGCGTGGAGCCCCTTTACTTGGATATATTCAGATTCTTACCCGAGTGCCACCCAGGTATCACTCTATCCTTGTTATGCTTGGTTTATGCTTCGGTCTTAACTCTAAAATCTTAAAATTCAGTCAATAGGACTGCCAGTCTTAATTGATCCTAACTGAAATCTGTATTCTATTGGCTGAATTTTAGGATTTTAGGGTTAGGACCGAAGCATAAACCAGGCATTATTTATCAATCGTTAAACATGACACCCGGAGAATAGCTGGGTGGGAATCTGAACTCGTCTCTTCGTGATAGTCAAACTGGAAATATTGTACAATAAAAAGCAATAGGAACAGGGAATAAGAAATTTCAACTTATCAGAAACCATGAATAATAGAATGGACGCTTTCTGATAGGTTGAAATCTTTTATTCCCTGTTCCTGTGCTTTTCATTGTGTTTCCAGCTTCACTGAGCGCTACATAACTTTACGGCCCAAACACAGCATTAGAGAAGAGAAATAATAAACAGTAATAAATAAGTAAAAAAAAAAAGATATTAAAAGTTATCTATAATAGACAAATTATTCTACGTTGTAAATTATAATAAATAAACATATTAATCATAGATTAATTCCTTTTTTGCTCAGTGAGCGATTTTTTTCTGCTGAACGCAACCATTCCTATTGGCTATTTCGACCTAATTGTCTATAATCCAATAAGCGCTTAGTATTATTTGTACATGGTTAGTTACTTTGATATGTCTAGGGCTTTATCTAGCTCTTGTTTAATGTTCAATTCTACCAATGTAGATTAACTTTAATTTCGATTCAACTAACTCTCCAACTTTTTCTAGTTTTAAGAATTATAAAAAGAGACGGAGTAAGTTAAATAAAGATAAAAATTTATCTACATTGGTAGAAACGGGCATAATTCCGCCATGATACTAACAACATCCATTTGAAAGATCTCTCTCTCTTTCTCTCTCTCTCTCTCTCTCTCTTTCTCTCACACCATTCTTACTACCATTCTTACAGTGGCATCAGTGCACCAGTATATGTTCTGTGAGTATACCACTGACTTTTCTATACCTATCTACGCGCCTGCTCGCATCTCCTTGGCTTGGCTCCTTGTGGCCAGTGTGACTCAATAACACGGTATTCGATAATGACATTAGCGATACATGCGACTACGTCTCGCTCCATCTCGCTCGCAGAGTGATTGCCCAAGATCTATTCGTCCACGCTGAGAGCGAATTCGAAAAGCGCATTCCCAACCGAATTCGTCCATCCGATTTTCTCGATTCTAAAAATTCTAGAGAATCCTCTACTGTGTGAGTGAAATTCGTGCAAAAATCGTGGAATGCGTCTTCGACATACGCGGGACTAATTGTAACGGGCTCGAACTACAATGTTACATGACAAATACGTACGTCGCTTGAAATGTTCAGGTCTTTCCTAAACATTTCAAGTATCTTGATAATTGAGAGATTTGTCATGCTTTTGCTTCCTTGCAGAATGTCAACGTGAGGTGAACGATTGTATCTGTAATATCTCAAAGCCGTTAGCAAAATCGGACAACAACAGGATTAAGTTCATACGCAGCCTTTTCACTGTCGAAAGCAGACGCAATGATGGATACAGATCCGCCGGAATTTCTGTCGAAAGATGATGAGATTCAATATTGGATGGATCTTGCGAACCAACTACTTCAAAGGTAGATTGCCTTACTGCTTTTAAGATTGGTTCCGTCCAACGCGCAGTTGAACTAGAAAATATATTTTATAATTTACATTAGAAATATTGGGCGTTTTCCTACTAGAGACAAAGAAAATAATATATCGTTTAATGTTACATTTAATGTAGTCGAATCGTTAAACCCTTAACATCAAAAGTATGATTGCGTACAGAATTTAAAGAACTTTATATAAAAAATTAACATTCATGGAACTTTCATCTCATTTCACTTGTGTGTTCGGTTTTATTTACTGTGTTCGTTATTTGAAATATATGTAACTCTCTGCTGTGTTTATTCTGTATTTATGAATGAGGATGATTCAAATGAAAGTGTTGAAATGTCAAAGTTATTGTTAATATCTAATAAATCATTTATTATAAATAAATATAATACATTCGGCATATCGGCTTTTATTGGTTTCTTTTATTATGTAATTATCATGTAACATTGCAAACAAGAAAGATGTAATGATTTATTTACTGTATCTCTTGCTGAAAACATCCAATATCAGGCATCAGGATCTAGCTTCGACCATATCCGACATTTCTTTATTTATTTGATTTAAATTTATTTTTCTATGAAATTGCCATGATATAAATTACAATAATGTCATTTATTAGGATCAAAGTGACATGATTATCAGGATGAATGATTATCAGGATTGTAAATATATGATTTGATTCTCAATATGTTCTGTGTCATATGAGTCATAGGTGATCTGTCTAGATTTTTTTCTTTATAATAATTTTCATAGTTTTTTATAAGAGAGAAGTACATTCGAAGGGCTTTTTGCAACAGTGGCTGATCTACATTTTACTTAAAACGGAAAACATAAACTCTAATTGAAGTAAAAAATATATTTGTTTTTACAAAATGTGGATTAACCCATTGTTGCTATAATTCTTTCGTTTTACTTAACAAACGTAATAAATACAAATAATAGTCAAGGATCGCAAGAGATCCACCTGACACAATGAACAAATAATTTAAAATTAACGCAGAATGTTAAACAATTAATAGAATCAAATGAAAAATGTTACTGTGCCTAAGATATTACTTTATTCTAAATTTTTCGATTGTATTAATCAATTGATGCAAAATTTTATTGCATTATGTAAATTAAAATATACAAGTTATATTCTTAATTATCTTACTTAATGACTAAATAATGAATCATTACTTTGCATCACTTTGTATTTCACATAAATTTTGAATGATTTGTTGATAGATGTTATTCTTTGTACATAATAGATATGTAATAAAGGCAATTATAGTGATTTCTCTTTAAAGTAAAAGAGTTGAAAATAGTGTTTGTTAATATCCAGGAAAGATGATGTTGAGAGAGAATTAGAAGAATTCCAAGAGAATTCGCAGATGCTGGAGAAAGAGTTGGAGACTTCACTGGAACAAGCAGAAAAAACGAATAGAGAATTGAGGCAGAGAAACACGAGACTTGCCACAGAAGTTGAACAATTGAGAACGCGACTAGATCAACAGTCTGCGGATTGCGCCATGTTCCAGGGAAAGGCACAAGATTTACAGCAACAACACGAGCATTTACTCAAGTATATTAGAGAACTCGAACAAAAGAATGACGATTTGGAAAGAGCACACAGGTACTTGACATTTTCTCAATTGACTAAACTGATAATAACTCGATCGTTAATAATTTAGTGGTTAATAAAAACTACTATCGTATTTCTCTTATAGGATAAATAGGGTCACAGAAGAAGAAATAGAAGCTAAGTTTAATTTAGCTATAGAAAAGAATGCCTTGCTCGAATCCGAACTCGATGAAAAAGAAGGCCTAAAAGTCATAGTGCAAAGATTAATGGACGAAGTTAGAGGTAATTGATAATCTTTCCTTTCAACACACTTTACAACGATAGCTAATATTCTACGGTATTTTAGATTTGAAACAGGAGATACAAGTACATGAAAGACATCACGCCGACAATAATAAGTCTGTTGAAAGAGTTCGTAGCATCGTTGATAGTAATAAGCTACAGGCTGAATTGGAGTCGAATTCACCCGCTAGCCAAATAGTCTCACAAACCATACCTCAGAATAATACGACGACTTCACCGATAAAAAGTAGGTTGTACAAAACTTTTGTTAAGGCAAAGTACTTTTTCCGCTTTGCATCGAGAGGACAATCGTCAAAATTGATAGATATCACAAATCATGCGGACGTCAAAAAGTGCAAATAGTTAAGAAAATGAAAATATGTACTGCATAAATATGTACTGCATAAAATAAACGTTACTAATTATTATTATTAAGTATATAATTTAAACTACAATCTCTTCTATATTTTATTCGCTATTCATCTTGAGATATTCAACTTTAATTTGTGAAATTAAAAAGGGATCACAGCAATATATGTGCAGGATGCATTGATGTAACTAAATAAATCTTTTTAATAGTAGTTTTCTTTTTCTTTGTTTCGGCTTTTCCAAAAAAATCTTGTGACACAATTACAATTATATATACTAACCACAAATTTATCAAAAATTTATAATTAGAAATTTATTTGGTCACATAAATTAATTACAATTAATTTATTAATTTGATTTTTGTGTTTTCCGCTAGTTGGACACGGGATGGTAGGAGGTGTTATTGGGAATAACAATAACAATATGAGCCAACCATTACCACCCTGCACTAGAATACTAGCAATGAATATGATCGGTGACCTTATGCGAAAAGTCGGGGTAAGCATATACAATATATCTCGAATATTTTCTTTATTACACCTATAGTTTTCTAAGCTTGAAGCATGGCTTGAAGTATGTCTTTCCGTATCTTTATACGTAAATTATATATTTTATATATACATATAAAATTGCTGTGTATGAATTTAATGGTACAAAGCAATTGTCTGTGTAAATACGAATTTTTTCAGTTTTTATTAATTTTTCTAATAAAGTACTCGTTAAAAAATTACATTACATCACAATTAAATTGATAAAACATATTATTATGTGTACATACGTAATATACAATATACAATTGATATGTAAGTAAGTCGGACTTGATTTGCACTTGAAATTAGATGGGAGTTAGTGTGATGTAGTTGGCATTTTGGTAGCTTGACAGGTGGGTCTGTATGGGCTGTAGGAGAATAAAATGCACTTGTCCGAGTGAACAAATATCGAATACCACCTCGTCTACTGGCCTATCGGCGGCCCAGACTCATGTGTCTACTCACTGTATAAGGCAACAACCTAGACCGACCGCGTGCAGATCTTCGTCGTGATTTCTCCATCGTTATTAAATTATTTTGCATCTCCTTAAAGAGCAGGTCTCGGTATTTTATTTTCTCGTTATTAAAAACGCTTTTGGTTATTCACGTTAATCATCCTGGCTTATGCATTGCCGAACATTTCATGCCTGCACTTAATCAAAATAATAATTCTATGTGATATATTATATATCATAATATTTGTTAATCTAACATTTGTCACAACATTCGTCGCAATCTTATCAATATAACACTTGTTGTGCTTGTCTATTATAGCTCTGAAGGTATTCTTAAAAAGTAGCATGTCTCTGATCATAATTATTCTTTTCTACAGGCGTTGGAGAACAAGCTGAACACGTGCAGAAATGCGTTCCGAGAAGATCAAGTTCGCGATCTCTACAGGTAACACAACAGTCACGTTTTAATCATGTTAAATTGCGTTGTTATACTCTTATTCTATCGTGCACTGTACTCACAAGTAAATGTCATGCATCCATCTTACGGTACATCTTTCTCTTTTTATCTTGTCGTTAATCTCGAAAGCACGTTTCTTGACAAATCTCGAAATTCCGAACGAAATCGCATGAAATCATACATGTACATGATATACTCATTGATTTAATCGTACTTATTGTTAGTATAACAATGTTGGTTGTGTTCTTTTTATCGATTATGCTTGTTATGATCAGCGCCAAGACGTCCAATTTCTATATATTTAAGACTTTTTACGCAATATTATGTAGTACTGATTTTCTTAGCTTAGAAGATTGAGACGTTTTACAAAGATAGATAGTGTGGCTCTCCCATTTGATAGACGACTGCCTTTATTATATAGCAAAGATTCTTTATTTTAATTAAATTTACACAACTAATTTCCTTTTGTTATTATATTTATCTCATCTTGTTCAGTTACGATTATTTATAGTATCAAGTATGTTACTTCTTTTTATACATAGGAAGTTTATAGTTTGTCTGCTTATGCTTCTTAGACAATTGTTAAAATTAAGTGTACGAGTAATTAATGACAATGGCATAGTTTTAATCATTTGTGTATTTCCTAAACCCTGTTGTGCCATGTTTGAATATGTTTAAAAATAAATATATCATTATTTATTAGGAGTTACATCTAAATCTTGTTTAAATTGCTAACTCTTTTTTTTTTATCAAATTCAATAATTTTTTTGAAATTAAAGACTTATTTACGTATTTTTTATTTATTTATTTTCCGCAATAAATGTGTACAGTAATTCTTCATACTTACGTTGCGTGCACGTGAAATCTCACGATGATGCAAAGTGCAATAGACACATTTTCCTCAATGTGTTCGAATTTGTACATACTTGTATAAATTAGAACACGAAGTACTTAGCTTAAAATGTATATACAGGGTCTTCAAAAAGTCTGGGAACACTAAAATATCTCGAAAACGATCAACTCTAGTGAAAAATATATAAAAGCAAAGTTGTAGGACTTCAAAAAATCTACGTAACTGATGATAAAAGGTTGACATTGAGTGGAGTCTGCAAGGTCATATGAAGTTCAAGTTGAATTTTTTAAACAGGACCCCCCTCTTTTTATTACATAGTCTTATAACTTATTTCAAGAGTTTTTCAAAACACTATAATAAAATATTTTTTCATTAAGTACTTTCCAAATTATTATTAATAATTAAGGCTTGAAAGTTATAGTATCGCCGGCATTATGCAAGATATCCGATCGACGGTTAATTGAATGTCGTTCTGAATAATATTTGCCAAAATTAAGGCCAAGGAGATTATATCTCTTATTTTCATTTTTACGCAAAAATGAATTTTTAATGCAAAAATGAAATTAAGAGGAATAATCTCCAATGGTCTTGATCTTAACAAATATTATCCAGGACATGATTCTGAACGACATTCAAGAGATTTTAGCCTATATAGGCCTACACAGCTCTTATAATTCTCACAACCACAATTCGTGTCGGTCCATTGGAGATATATTATAATAAACACGATAGCATATTTTACACAAGGCTTGCTTGTTAGCAGACAATTATTACGCGAAATTTGACTAGGAATTTGTTAAAAGAAAAACGAATGATTATTAATTGTAAAATACACAAATGACAAATTTTATATAATTAGCTGCATTTTTCACGCGCGTAGAGAAATATTCATCAAAGTATAAAAATTGAAATTGTAAAAAACTGTGCTAATACGAATAAATATGACCGTGTAAATGATACACATATGTACGAGAATGCTAATAATCGGTCAAAATTAGACGTTATAAATACAATATATATATATATATATATATATATTGTATTTATAACGTCTAATTTTGACCGATTATTAGCATTCTCGTACATATGTGTATCATTTACACGGTCATATTTATTCGTATTAGCACAGTTTTTTACAATTTCAATTTTTATACTTTGATGAATATTTCTCTACGCGCGTGAAAAATGCAGCTAATTATATAAAATTTGTCATTTGTGTATTTTACAATTAATAATCATTCGTTTTTCTTTTAACAAATTCCTAGTCAAATTTCGCGTAATAATTGTCTGCTAACAAGCAAGCCTTGTGTAAAATATGCTATCGTGTTTATTATAATATATCTCCAATGGACCGACACGAATTGTGGTTGTGAGAATTATAAGAGCTGTGTAAGC